AAAGTGACCAAGTCAATTTTTTTTGCGAAAAACAAAAAGATTAATACAATCTTTAGAGATACTTAGAATCACTAACTTCAACCATTTAATACCTGGAAAGAAAAAATACATATCCTTTTAAATTGATTTAGAAATAAACTCAAATAAAATTACAAAATATTCAACATCAATTATCTCGAAAGCATCATATTTGACTTGGTCAGTTTTTGCAGTATGCCCACGATATATATATATATATATATATATATAATATATATATATATATATATATATATATATATATATATATATATATATATATATATATCAAAATATTAAAAGCCGTAAAATATGAAATTATTATTGCATCAAATAAAAAAACTACAATAACTTCAAATCGCAACAGGGGCTAAATTGGCCTCTTCGACTTTCTAGTGTTAAAGGCAGAGATCAAGTGACTCGAGTTCCTACAGAAAAGAATTCCATCAGTCTACAATAAATATGTGAATTATAAAAGTTCAATATGCATTTCTAACTGAAAGTTTCCAATCAGAAAGTTATCAATTATTAATTTAGGGGAAAGATTTGTGCACTGAATTTTCCAAGAGAGGGTTTCATAAGATGCAGCCTCAAAAATCTCTCGTTTTTCTTACTTTCAACAGTTTGTTTATTGGAACGAATAATCATGTCCAGCTTTGTAAAGAATAAAACAAAACAAGATTCGTTTTTTGAACGTTTAAGAACAACTCAGCTATTTAAATTTAAAAGTGTTGCTAAGTTGATTTGTTCTTCAAATATTACATAATACAGTAAAATGAGATAATACCCGAATAACCAGTGGAGACTTTCTTTAAATCTAGTTCTGGTACAGGGGCTGAAAGTTCATTAATAAACAGAATAAATGGCAGGACCTGTGGACGTCAGAGGAGGATAATTGTCACATTTTGAGGGCAATAATTTTATGTTGTATTAACAAAGTATCAATTTACCAATTGGTCGATCCCATTAAGATTACAATTAAAGAAATAGGGTTAAGGGTTAGTTATTAGCAGATTAAAGATAAGGGTTAGTAAATTAAAAGCAAAGCTATAGCGTGCAAGCCAAATTACCACGCAAACTGCCTGTTGATCTACGAGGCGTAGTGTTAAGCAATCTCTGTACTTCTTGAGGTTTAGCTGTCAAAATATTAAAAGAAAATTTAATTAAAGTATTTACAAAGAAGAAGGGTTAAAAATGCTAAATAATAAAAATTGTTAAAAGCTGTGCGTGTATAGGTCACAAAAATTTTGATGTATGATACATTTTTAAAAGCATTAATTGTCTGGTTAGAGAAAATGTCACATTGAGAACATTACTCCCCCGACACCTTTGCGAACTATCACCCCTCCATCCCTTCCTTCAGAGTAATTTTGTTAACTGGTTTACGAAATTTATACAATTTGCTCAGACTATAGCAGATAATCCTATTCTCCTTTTACTGGACGGCCATGTAGTACATATTAAGAGCATATAACTAATAAATATAACACGAGAAAATTACGTTGTAATAATATGTTTGCCGCACCACTGCATTCATAGAATGCAGCCACTTGACGTGTGGATTATGGCACCGCTGAGCACTTGTTATAGTGAAAATACGAGAAAATTGATGCGTCAAAATCCGGGACGGTGGGTCACAATTTATGAGGTGGAGATGCTTTTAATGAAAAACTCAAAATGCAAAACTCCGATTAATGGATTAAAAAATAAACAGGAATATATCCACTTGATCCAGGAGTGCTTTCGGATTGGATGTTCTCCTTATCTGAAACCACAGAGAGGCAAATTAATTGTCAAGAAAATCCCGGATCTATATCAAATGAACCCGAAGGTATATCCTAAGTAGAACATCAAAGTAGTCCTTCCACTGAAAATATTTCAAAAAAAATCGCGATCCCTAGGATCTACCCACTCCTTTAACATCGCGTGGTTCATCCAGTAGCAAGTTGTAGTTTTTCAGTCTCCCCCAAAGAAATATTTACGATTCTAAAAGAGACAAGAAACTCGGCTAGTATTAAGAGAAAGAGGGGTAAAGCAGCAGTGTTGACTTCTTCACCCCAAAAAGCTGAACTAGAAGACGAACTTAAGAACAAAATCCCACAGAAAAAGGGTGTAAAGAAGTTATACAGTGTGTTCCAACGAAAATTTAACTCCCTCCCAGAAATTCAGAAATCAAGAATTTCTTCAACATTTAAGAAAACATGTAAATTTTAATTGGGGGAGGGGGATGAATTTTTATGCAAAATTCATGCCCTGAAATGTAACTCTCTAATGCCCTGCACACCACCAACCCATCTTTTTTTTTTTAATAGCAAGTGTAGTCGAGTGGCACATCATTTGAAAGGTACTTTTTTCTCTACGTGGCACTTTTTTTAATTTTCGGAATAACTTTGAAGACAATTTGTTGGTTGAACACAGTAATAACAAAAAACACAACATTTCATTAAATTAACCAATTAAATGTTCAAAATGACCTCCTGTGACCTCCGTACAATAATACAGTATATTTCTCATGATCAAGCTGATCTCCCTCTTCAGCAACATTGACATTTTTTCAACCTGCCACAGCAAAAGGGTTAGTGTACGTTCACACAGACCGCTATGGCGCGATCAGCGATGCTTTGCTAAGCTTTGCGTTACATAGCAAACTATTAACTGTGGGTGTTTCAATATAATGATATGCTTGTGACCTAATTGTTATCATAGTCTTGTCTGTGTCGGTCGTGACGATAGAAAGAAAACTGAAATATATATTGGCGAATAATTGACTTTTAAAATAAAATATTTTCAAAAAGTGATTAAATAGAAAACATAAATGGGTTCATAAAATTAATATAGAAGGTGCGACATTTGGACAGTTTCATTATTTATTTGCTAAACTGATTACGCATCCTGATAAATTTCGATAATATTTTCGGATGTCTTTAGAAACATTTGACTATATTCAGAGATATATAACTACTTACACAGAAAATGCAAACAAACTGCAGAAAACCAATAACAGCTTACAATAACTTTAAGGTACATTGGAATATTAAAATAGTACATCTAATATTTTCATAAATCTACCAAAAAAAAATACAGGGAGTTCCGCTCGCGCACGATCACACTTTAGGGTTAGAAATTTACTTAGAAGTAATTAGATTTCATGGGATAAAATAAAAAGTGGGGTGTCTATCCAATGTTGTCTCTCAGTGGTGCAACTGTTATACAATAATGCAATGTAATGATGCAAAAAATAAACAAGAATTATAAACAACCGTTTTATTATTATATATACACATTTTTATAATTTTAAATAAGATAGAGCTGAATCTGACCTATGTGTACCAAACTGAATCCCTGCAACTCTACTCTGTGATTGTTTGTGTTATTGTTGTTAGTTGTGAACAGTACAATCATACAGAAACTCTTGCATCTTCCAACGGAACCAAATTTTAGTGTCCTCACGCATTCTTTTTAAAGGTGGGTACTTTGATTGAAATATTGGATCTTTCAATCAACGGTGGGTAAGGAGTCTAGTAACTCTAATTTTTTTTCCATCAGAGATATGAATTGCTCGATATCCAAATCATCTTGTTTACATTTATGCCCTTGGTTAGTATTTTTGGAGTGCTTACTAGAGGATGACATACTAGGTTGGAGTTCTTCATTATATAATGAAGTATTATTGTTAAAAGTTCCTGCATTAGTTTCAGCCTGTGATATATTATCATCTGCAGTTTATTCTTTAGTTAAAATTCCACTATTTTGTGATAACAGGTCATGCTCATCATTAAGTGAATCGCTGTGAATATTCTCAGGCATCATATCACTTTCTTTAGTTGATGGTAGATTGCCAGTCATGTTGAGATATGCCATTAAATCTTTTAAGAAAATTAAACTTTTAAAATGTGCCCAAGTGTGTATACATTATATTGTATACGTAGGTGTTTTTGGGGAATTATTTATTAATAGCAATAGCAGCATAAATAAATAAATAAATAAATGTATTTTGATACTGGAAAAATAATAATTATTTATTTACAACATTCGTTTTTTTTTGTTATCATCATATAGCAAACATGTTACAAGTGTTTGTTATCATCATATAGCAAAGCATTGCATCACTCATCGCACCATAGCAGTCTGTGTAAATATACACTTAAGCATATTACAATTAAAAATGGTTTTAAAAAAGGTGTAAACTTTAACAAAAAAATTCACAATATATAAAAGGACAGTGAAGAAAATTCCAATAAAAAAATATCCTCTGTACATGACATGCAGTAGTTACAACTTAAATGTTTACACAAGCTATATTCACCATAAAATATATACATATAATAAAGAGGTATAGAAGTAGGCCATAAACTACTAGTGAAGTTCTAAGTAAAGCATAAAGGATAAAGAAAAATGTACGAAAATGTTTAACTGAGCAATGTAATAGTTATACAAAAGGAATCAGTGGAATAAACTGAGCAGAAAATAAAATACCATACACTCCACCAGACTTTACACCTCTAACAAGGTAGAAAGTGGTTTAAAAATTTAACAAGACAAATACTGAGTATATAAAATGAATTGGTATGTACACATAAATTTAAGAACATTTAAATAACTGTTCGAAAGTTACAATAAAATAAACTTATGGTGACTGCATATTTTAAAACTAACTTGAAATAAATAATGTGTTAATAGAAATCACTCTGATATAAACAATGAATACATTTAAAATGAATAATATATACAAATGTAGCAATTTTGGTAAAAAGTATGAAATTTCATTATGGTGGTGAATTCAAACATATATTTAATTTCTAATAGAATTCTAAACATAATTCAAATTGAAAAAAAAATAAAGGAAAAACTATATATTATGATCCAATTATTTCTGCAAATATTGGAAAACACTAAATAGAACATAACATACATCTCTAATATTTAGTGCAGACTTTTTATTGATTATTGATTTTGGTTCTATAAATATCTTCAAAACTTACCTGTAAATATTCTTTGTCTTGCCTGAAGTAGCTGATTTCTATTTCTAACCCGTACACACAAGTGGATCATTAAAAACATAGTGACATTCATAATCATACTTTGAACTAACAGTGGATATTCAAAATGCCTACCAAACCTTAAATAGAACAATTATTAAAGAAATTACAATTCAATAGCTTCAATAACTTACCAAAACATTATTCTTAAAGTATTAGCTACTAATAAAGCTAAACACACTAACAACGAGAAACCTTCTGCATCTTTAGTTTTTCGTATTTGTCTGTATTGGGGAATGTACGGTATGACACCCCCAACTATCATAGCCCCGGCACTTATCCAACCAACAACAGTTCCTACTGTTAAGGATAATTCGTCCGATATAACCCAATCCATTGTAAATTATGTACTTTGTTCAAACGGGACACGAATTGATCATTGTCTACTAACTTACAAAACTGGAATAATTTGGCAGGTGGCCGTCAGGCCGTGTTTAGAAGTTTAGATTAATGAAAAATGTCATTGTCAAATTAAATGTCAACCTAGGTACATGACGTTTATCTTTAACTTCTACAACCACATTATGCTAATAGGAAAACAATTTAAAATTTTTAAATTTTAAATCTGAAAAATAATTGAAACGATTTTATTAACTTGTAATATCCCGTAAGAGATTATAAAACTGTGATCACAAATAAACAGCATTTATATGACATGATGATGACAGATAGACGTCAGGTCAGGAGTATATTAAATCATAAAAACCTACCTGTGTTTTTGTTAGGTTGCAATTTTTTTGAAAAAATTATAACCACAACAACAAAAAACTTTAATCATGGCACCACACGGAAAATGTGGAGATTCTAGCCATTCTCACGAATCCGATGAAATAGGAATTCATTACAGTTTATATGCAAAGATCGACAAAGAGAATTTAGAATGTTTGAATGAAGCTAATGAAGGTAGTGGAAAAAGTGTCTTTAAGCCATGGGAAGAGCGTTTAAACTTTGAGGCCGTAAGTTGTACATAAAGTCTCTTATTCATATATTTATTTAGCTCATTATATAGCTCTTCTCCATTATTTTTAATATGAAATGGATTTCAAAATCAGAAAACTTTGAGTTTTGTAATTGGTGATTCTTTCATATTACTATTGGTCTTCCTAAAGATTTTATTTTTGGATATATTTATAGTTTAAGTTATTCTGTAAGGTGTATTTACCAGTTTCTTAGACACCTAATAGTAGGACTTTTGTTAGTAGTATTACTTAGTATAGTATACTTAGAATAGTAGTACTTTTATTTATTTTTATCATTTTGTCAGCTTTTAATAATTATTGTAATAAATTCTGTGTTTTTTGTTGCAGTTTGTGGAATCTGATGCTGATGAAGAACTTTTATTTAATATACCTTTTGTGGGAAATATTAAACTTAAAGCTATAAAAATAATCGGAGAAGACTCTGAAACTCATCCCTCTAGAATGAGATTGTAAGTTCAAAGAATTTTTAGGTCTTTCTGTTAGTTATGGATATCACAGTAAATTTTTGAGTGTTGATACAATGACACTGACACAGCTGCCTGTATTAGTACAATGATGGAATTTCTTTAAAACATAGGCTATCAAAATAACATTGGTATACTTAAGTCACTTTTTTATTGCATGAAGTGATCTTAACATTAAAAAAAGTATGGGTTAAATTAAAAGAAAACCTTTTTCCTCTCGAGCTAAATCAGTACATTTTAAGCGAAATTACAGTAAATTTGATACTTCAAGACCTGACTATTTCTATATTCAAATTTAGTGAAAGAAAGAAAAAAATGGATGATCCATAATACTTCCTTCAAAATCTTTTAATTGGTGTAAGTACTTAAATTGAAAATTATAAATTTTGTTTAATTGTTGATATTTGATATTTATTCTAATTGGTTCATAGATTTATAGTAATAGTAAAACAATTCTGCGCCATTTCCTGGGAGTTCAAACCTAACTAAAAAATAAATTCCTTATTTGTTAATTCTTTTAATTGCCGACTTAAATAAACTTTCTTTACTTTTTTGAGTAGGCAATTTTACAAATATACTCTTGTCAACAACACATACTACATAATTAAATTTGTGAGCTTGTGGGTATGCTGTAATTTATTGTATACGTGTCGAAGATCAACGAAAAAGAATCTGACACTGCGTGCGACACTGTATTACAAAGTATGTGTTTTAATACGCTGTGTGGGTGTATTGAACTGTGTCATAGGTGTCACTGTGTCATTTCAACTGTATCAATACAATTGATACACTCTAAAGTGTCAATACGAGAATGCCATTCAACACAGTATTGCACATCTCTACTTTCTGTAGATATAATCTAAATCTGTTATCTAACCTATTATTAAAGACATAATCATGTGAATTATTGTTTTAGGTTCAAAAATAGACCAAAAATGACATTTGATGATACTAGTGCCAATGCAGATCAAGAATTTGAATTAGTTAGAGATACTACAGGAGCTGCTGAATATGTAACTAAGTAAAGACTTATTTTTATATATTTATTTGCTTATTTGGCTTAATTTAAAGTAAAGTCTTGTATGTAATAGATATGTAGAGCCTCTCATTGTAGCTGTTGAACAGTTCTTTTTTTGTTTCTTTTAGAAGGACTAGTTCCTGATTATTTTATTATATTTAGACTTTTTCTGAATTCTTCCTGTGATACTGAACTCAAACTCCAGTGCCATGGTTTTGCCAGTTTAGCCAATTTCTCTTCTGGCATCCTTTAAACAAGATCCATAATATCTATAAATTGTATATATCACCTTGTGGGTTGATCTGTTGTTTTTTTTTTTCTATAGGTCATGCATTAATTAATTTTTTGTACATCTAAGTTACATTAATTACTATTTAACTGGGAATAAGCTGCAATTAAAGATAAAAATACGTTTATTGACGTTTCAATTTCCACTTCGGAAATCATTCTCAAAATACAAACAGTAAATTGTTTATTTTTTAAATTTATTTATATTTAATTTATTATATAAATTTTACAATTTACTGTTTGTATTTTGAGAACGATTTCCGAAGTGGAAATTGAAACGTTGAAATTAATCTTTATTTGTGGCTAGTAATTAACTTAAAATGCCACAAGAAAATAGCTTCAGAACAATCAAGTTACAGACTAGATAATACACTTCCTGTAACTTAATCAATTTGTTTTGTGTTTCTTCTAATAGGAATTGAATGAAAAAGTGTATATGGGTTTTTTTTTAGAGAGTATTTCTTGCAATATTTTTTAAAAATATACTTACATAAAAAATGTATGTTAACCCTACTTTTTTTTACATTTTTTTTTTAATAATTTTGGTAAATATTAAAATGATATTTTTTAATTTTAGGATTGTCACTTTCAATAATGTCAACCATCTAACGTTACATTTTCCATCCAACTTTGGAGGAGAAACTACTAAAATATATTACATAGGACTGAAAGGAGAATTCTTCGAAGCTCACCATCATGGGGTAACTATATGTACCTACGAAGCTAGACCAATGCCACAGGACCACAAGAATCCCCTTAATGAAATCAATCAATCTCAATTAGGCAAATAAAAAAAAAACATTTTTCGGTAATAGCAAACAAAAATATTCATAAGATAAGTGCTATATGCCAACACATTATATATTTTTCTGTCTTTCATTTTGGCGAGAACTAACAAATTGTGGCTCCACCCTGTGAGGGCGAACAGCTAAGCAGTTTATTTTCTGATTTATTTACATGGTTGATAAAGTCAGTCGTTCTTAACTTTTGTAATCATTTTCTTGTGTGCCTACTTTTATTTCATTTGTTTATTTTGATTGTTTTTGTACCCAATATTATTTCTATGATACTTTTATAATTAAAATCTAACCTAATATAGCCTATAAAGTTTGTCTGTAATCATTTTGATTTCAGATAATCAGATTGTGTGATTCCAGATAGTTTTACTAAAATTCCGAATTTATTATCACAACAGATCATATTCTTCATCTTTTGGTTTATATAAAAACAAAAACCTCTATAAATATTTACTCCCAGCTTTTTCTAATGTGCAAATTTTGTTCCTGTTCTAAGAGATGCTTCAGAATATTTAAATTACTAATTCCTTTCATGGTTTTGTCTTTTCTGATATAAAACATTCATTATAGTATTTGAGGTACCTCCATTACTTAATATTTATACAAGTTTTTGTAGATCATTAATGAAATGCAATCTATAGGAGACTTAAATTAGCTCTTTCTTTTGGCTTTTTAGAAACTGTGCCGCCTGTTGTAAAATATGCCATGCGGTAATGATTCTAAGTTACCTTTAGAAGGGCACATGGTGTGATTGCAGATAGTTTTTACTAAAATCCTGAATTTATGACTGCCATAGATCAAACGCGCCATCTATTGGCCGTTGTATAAAGGAATACCACTAAAAATAAATAATTTTAGTCTTTTCTGGTATAAAAAATTTGTAATTGTTCTTGAGGTAGCTCCATTTTTGAAGATATATGAATTTTTGTAATTTCTTGATGAATTATAGTCTTCAGGAAATTTATATGACCAATTTCCAATTACCAATTTTAGAAATAATGCCGTCTGTTTTGGAATATCGTATGCTTACTGATTTTGGAATTACCTTTAGAACAACACTGCAGATAGTTTTACTAAAATCTCGAATAATTTGTGACTACGATGGGTCAAAAGCGCCATCTTTTGGCCTTTATAAAAACGAAAAGCTCTATCAAGGGCTAAAGTGTGGAATAAGCTTTGGAAATGCATTAAAATCGTTAAAAAAAGGATTGTAATTTGATTGTCAGCGTTGTTAAAGTGTTTAAAAACTATTCGAAAGCGCTATAAACCTTTGTAGAGGGTTAAAATCGTTTACCATAATCGAAGAAACATCGTAAAAGCTTTATAAAGAATAGTAGAAGGACCAAAAGCGTCGAATGAGCATCTGTTACGTTAACGAAACTGTTTAGAGTGTTGTTCAAGTGTTAAAAATACATTACAAAGTATTTCAAAATGATTAAAAATCATTAAAGCACCGAAAAACCATCATAAGAGCATTGTAAAAGAGTTAAAAAATATGCAAAGCGTCGAATCAGCTTTGAAAATGTATTAAAATCGTCAAAGAAGCGATGCCCACTGTTTGAAGTGTTTAAAAAGCATTGTAAACAGGCTATAAGTGTTAAAAATAGTAAATGGTGTAAAATGCATTACCAACTTTGTTAGTATGAGTTAGTAAAACATTATGAGTATTGAAAATACAATTTAAAAGTGTTTACAGTGTTTTTTCGGTGTTACTAAAACTTTGTTTAACGATTTTAAATAGTTTTTGGACGCTATTATTTCTTTTATCACGTTTAACACCTTCACAATGTATTTTCAACGCTTTTATGGCTTTTAAAACGTAGGAATATATTTAAAGTGTAGTTACAATTATTGTAACAATAAAATCGCAAAAGAATGTTTAAAGCGTTAGAAAGTTGTGTAAATGGATCAAACGGGTATAAAGAATATAAAAATCGCCGAAAAACAGTTGTAAAATTTTTAACGCGTTATAAAATTAATAACAAACATTAAAAGGGTCAAAAAACTGTAGTAAAAATGTTTTATAAAGGTTAAAAACGCCTAATATGCGTTGGAAATGCATTAAAATCATTGAGAAATTATTAAAATCATTTGAAATCTACTTAAAGTATTGGTAACGTATTCAAAAAGTATCAAAGTTTTCGAAAAACTGTTAAAACTAGTTGTAAAAAAGTTTAAAAACTTTGAAAAAGAATAAAATTAATTGAGAAAACATTGCATAATATTCAAAGCGTTGTTAAAATGTTGAAAGCACCGAAAAATGATCGGAACGGCGTTATAAAACGTTGCACAAGGATTAAGAGCGTCGAATAAGCTTTGAAAACATAAAATCATCGAAAGCGATTCAATATATTTAACGTGTTGAAATGTTAAAAAAGTGTTGTCGAAATCCTATGCAATGTTTTCTTTTGGCACTTGTGACACTTTACAACGCTTATTCAATGCCTTTAGGGTGTTTTGCAACGCTTGTTCAACGAAAAGTTTGAATCTAACGATTGTTATCAAAAAATAATTTGTTTAAAATATATTTTCTTTGAAAAATCCCAATACACATAATGAACCATACCATTTCAGTTACTATAAATTATTAATTTTATTATTGAGCAAATGTGCAGAAGGACAAAGTCATCCCCAAATATTTGATTAATGAAATATTACCGAATATTTGATTTGTTATCGTTTTATACCTCAATTTTGTATTAATACAATTAGATAGACACCTGAGTGCATGTTCATCTTTTGATTTTAATTTTTGGTGTCTAACCCAAAATGCGTTAAAAACAATGCTTTTACACTTTGGGGGCTCGCATTTTATACTTAGTTTATTTTGACCTTGTCTCTTCGTTTTCAACATTTAAAATTTGTCATGTTTAATTACTTTTATTGTTTTTTATTTCTTTGTATATATGATAATCGTTTGCACTTATTTAATGAAAATCAATCACAATTTTGACATTATTCTCTATTATAATTCTACTGCGGAAAAAAGCTTGCGGAGTATTCTCCCATTCTTCAATAACGGCCTCAATGAGTTGGTTGTGATTGACAATAGGGAGTCTACGACTTCGAATCTTTTTTTTAGATAGTCCCATAGATGCTCTATAGGATTCATGTCCGGACTGGTAGGTGGCCACTCTCATAATGAAATATTAACATCATATAGGTAGCCAATAACCTGTCGACCCACATGAGGACGAGCGGTGTCTTGCATGAATAAAAAATTAGTTCCAAGAAACAGAGCAAAAGGCATTGCATGTTCGACAATAATGTTGTCTAAGTAATAATGGGCATTGATAGACCTCGTACGTATGGGGACCAACTCTGTACGAACTTCAAAACAAATTCCCCCAAAACATTTTAGAGCCACCACCCAAAGGTACTTTAGGAGAGATATTGCAGTTGGCAAACCTTTCTCTTCGCCTTCGCCAGACACGCTCACGACCATCTGGAGCTTTTAGGCTTACTCTAGTCTCATCGGAGAAAAGAAGTCGTTTCCAATCATCGATGATCCAATTTTGATCCAATTTTGATGCAATTTTGCAAAGTTCAATCTCCGAACCCTGTGTTTTCTGGTAAGCAAGGGTTTTTTGGCGGGTTTTCTCTTGCTCAATTCTGCTTCATGTAAACGTCTTCTAACTATTCGAGACGATATCGCGATATTTCGAACATTTGCTAGTTCATTTTTTTAGCAAATTGCTGGTGACTCTCCTATCTCTGAAAGCACGTTGTCTCAAAAAACGATCATCAATTTGATTAGTGCAACGCTTGTACGACCATGTTTCATTATATCGCCTCACCTTGCGACTGATGCTGGAATGATGTCTTCCTAACAAACTTACAACGTATCGCATCGAATATCATTCATCTAGGAGAGTCTATGCTTGCACTGCCTCCTCCATTGACAAATTTCTTTGGCGGTTCATTTGTTTATTTGATTTTTATGCAAATGAATTCCAAACATGCATGTGATGAAAAATATCACAATAAAAAGCTTGTTTCTGGCAATCACTTTGCTTTAATCGGCACGTTTTATGAAAAGTTTAACTCACTTTTAGTCTAAAACGAAGTTTAATAAAAATTATTGTTAAAACAAGATTATTATTAGCTTATATGACACTTGTTACTGTCAAACACGGTTTATAGGCAACTTGTCGTACAGTAAATTATCAATAAATAAAGATTACTGAGAAAAATATGAGTGGTGCGTTAATTTTGTCCAGGAGTTTATATTCGTTACTAATTTTGTCTTAATTAAGAACGTTTTTACCCTTCCCGTAAGTTCCCCTTTTTAATTATCCGTCTGAATAAGTTTGTTGTGAGTCATTCACCAGCCGCTATCCGGAGGAACACTAATTTGCAATTTCAATAAGAAATGATTTTAGATCACGGCCTATCAGCACGGAAATAAATGTATCATTACCCAATAATTACTGTTTGTTGCTTATACTGGGGTAAATCAATAATGAAATTCATTTTTATGAACTTATATTTTCGGAAGTATTAATGTTATGTAGATTTACGAGAGTTTATTTAAAACTGATTCAATTTACTTCCTTGTATTTAATAAAATTGTGATTTTATATGCCAATAATGTAATATCCACTTAGAACTAACTAATTTCAGAATTTGTAATATCTCTTTCATAGATTGTATCTTATAATAATGTTAATATAACTATTTTTGGCTGTGAAAATAACAAATTTTGTAAATACCATTAAACTTTTCTTATATTATTAAAGGTATGTTTTATTTCGCACCATTTTTCTATAGAAAAGTCACATCGTCTTTATCCTCTTACTTGAAAGTGACAAACACTATAAAGGAACCAACGTCGAAGAACATACCAAAAACAAAAAGATTTAGAAAACTGGTTCGATGACGAAATGTAACGATGAGTTAAAAAAAGATCAGATTTGAGATTAAAAAGTTTACGATCGCAAAATAAGACGACCTAGAAAGATATGCCGAACATCGAAAAAAAATAAAGAAAATCCTAAGGGCAAGAAAAAGAAAGTATATGGATGATGAAGTAAAGCGTATTAAAGAAAATTACAAGGAAAATGAAATAAAAAATGTATACAAAGAGGTAAAATACATTAAAATTGGTATTTTTACCAATTTTATTACCAGAGGTAAAAAAAAAGTATTTTTTTTCTGTGGCTATGATGGTGTTCTTTTGGTGGGTGTTAAGTGATGCACAGACGCATGCCTTGTATTTGATTATCGGTTTTAAGTATATAGGATTTATAGATCAGCTGTGTCCATAAAATAAAGAAGACAAAGGACCTTTACCAATGTAATTTTTATTTGACCACACCACACAGCAAAATTCTTTAACGTAGAATACTATGATAGAATATACAGACACATTACACCATTTATCCATCCAGCAATGGGTCTAAGGCCTGTTAAAGTTATACATATGTATGTACATACTTAGTATCAGAAATAGCTACGTCCACAATTTTTAGAAATTGACCTTTTGATGGCAACTTTTTCATTTCGAGAGTGCCTATTACCTAAAGAAACAGTTTGGGATTAAATTTAGCTTAGTCCAGAATATTATAACCAGCTAGTTGTTTGTCCGATGTGCTAAAACTCTGTCCAGTATGCACCATATGGAGAACCGGACTAGCTTTGAATCTCTAACGCTTAACTAACCTACAAAATGAATCAAATTGGAAACAGATGTTGCAATAATAACAACAAATATAAACAATAAATTCTTTATTTCATGTACATTCAAAAAATATTTAATATTTTAAATGTTTAACAGATTTCGTAAATACATAGGTAATAATAAAATATTGGCAGCATTTAGAATCGATATTATCTAAACTGTAATGGTTTGAGCAAGATAAAAATAAGTACACAGGTTTATATTTTAAGTAAACAAAAATCTTAATTCATTATAGAAAAACTGATGATATATGTAATTCAATCATGATTATCTGCAATTAATTTTCCTGTAGTATCCGTTGCCCCAATACAAGTCTTCTTTGTCATACACAACTGCTATTGCAACTACCTACACAACTCCTCCTATATTGTAGAAAATAATGAAATCTGAACGATTAACTAATCCAGCAACGCATAGGAATACCAAGAAAAAATAGTGATAATTTTTGGCCAACGCCAAAAGGAAGTAAAATTTAATGAAGTAGGGGAAACATTAGTACTTAAATCTTTTGTTGATCTATTGAAGAAGCTTGTTTTAGGAGAGTAGGCTGTCAATGAAGGCGATTTGTAAGGTAATTTATTTTCCGTTTCAGAGACTCAGCAGGTATAATCAAAGGCAAAGCACGAGCAGATACAGACGTTGCTTAACATGTTTGTATTTGTTGAAGATAGTTCGTGTTGGAAGTAGTTTTACACTTGATTTATCATTATTATAAAGTGTAACAGAATTTGTAAGAAAACTTGTAAATTTGGGAATTCGCAGTTCGTTGTGTTTTGATAAGATAACAGTGACATCAGTTGTCCACGGTTTCTTCACATTCCTTCGCTTTATGATGATCACATAACTATAGCTGTTTCCAACACTGTGGTTTTTTTAGTTAATCAGACTTTTTCGACAATTTAGAATGTTTTAACCACACACCACAATAAATTTACAAATAGCTGCTAATTTTTAAATTTCAAACAGTATTTTATTATATATATATTTTCGTTTATTTGTACAATTTGCTTTGGATTGCTTGTGCTTAAAATTAAAGAAACAATTTTATGTATATCTATCTGCAAAAAGAGTCAAATAAAATTTTAAAACTATACTAGAAAACATATTAATATTTATTTCAAAATTAAGTTACTGAAAAATAATTCTTATTTACAAAATTACTTTTGGTGTTGCTTTCCCCAACTATGCCCCTGTCTCTTAGCTTCTAAAATGACACCATAATGACACCAAACTATTGATTTTTGAAATAAAATAATACACTATTAGTAGATAAAGACTATTAATATATTAGACTCCCGATATAAAATAAAAAAATATGGAGAAAAAAAATGTCGGGAAAGAAATGAAAAGCAGAATTTACAAAATAGTCATCATATCAAAAATGGCATAGGCGGCAGAAACAAGACCTGATACAGAGAGGACAAAAATTGAAGAAGAAAAAAGATATAAAAAGCTTTTAGAAAACATTTAGAAGAAAGCAACATTTAAAGTTAAAAATGACAACCAAAAAAAGACATCGAGAAACTGGAACCATGGCAGACGAACATGGAAAACACAAGCGAAGGCCAATGTTAGGAATGAACCAAAAGTTACTGCTAAAGAAGATGAAGAAGTATTAGTAGCTGAAATAAGCTTTATCGATATATGCTTTGAAAATGACTTACCGTTCAATGTATAATTACTATATGCAAAATAATTATATGGAAAAACTACTAATTAGGCTAAAAGAGGAAGACATAAATAAAAATAAATATTAGGAATGCTAGCTGAAGCTTAATTCGGATTCAGAGCCACACATTCATGTGAATTTCATGTATTAAGATTAACCCTTTATATCTAACAAGGATACATCAACACCCAGTACTCAGTAACAGAATTTCTTGAATTTAGCAAAGCAAACTCGAAAGAATATTATAAAAAAGAAGTAGAAGATTATTTAAAACCAAAACTAGACCAATAAAAATCATAATCAGAGTCAACACTGATAAATGCGTTAGCAACATAGAGCCACACCTGCCAAACAAACAGCAAGAAAATTCAGACACCTCAGAACAAATGTACTAAAAGTACCCAACTTTACAGCGAATATATTCCTGTATTCCATCTGATATATCCTATATATCCAGCGAAGATACAGAATGGGAAATAAAGAAATAGAAATACTCTGTTACGCAGACGAGGCAATATTGATAGCTCAAGATGAAGATAGTCTGCAAGAACTGGTCCACAGATATAAGAGCAAAAGAATTTAATATGACAATTTCATCTCAGAAAACTAAAACAATAGTAGTCAGCAACGAACCAACCAGATATAAAATAAAAATTGATGGCATCAGTATTAAACAAGTAATGGAAATAAAATACCTGTAAATTACACTGTCTAGCTATGAACACCAGGACAAAGAAGTGAAAGATCAAGAACAAAAAGGAAATAGACTGGCAGGATGCCTTAATAACACTATATGTAGAAAGATATAAAAGTACTGAGAAGAATTATAGGGAATACGCTGAGAGATCGAAAGAAAAATGAAGAAATGAAGAAAATGTAACGTACAGTGTATAAAAGAATGGAATAACCACATAAGTAGAATGCAGGAGATCCGTGTCGTCAAAATAGCAAGAGATAAGTCACCAATCGTCAAAAAAAGTATCGAACAACTGCGCAAAAGTTGGAGTGAAAACATTCCCTGAAAGACAAATAATAATTAAAAATGTTTTAACAACTTTTATTTGACTCTTTCTTTTTTATTTCTCTAGTTACCTACCTTACTTTCTCCTCACTCTCTCATCACACACACTCTCTCTCTTTCTAACTATCTATCTCTTTCTCTCCCGCTCTCTGTGTTACTCTATCTCACTCTTTCTTTCGTGTATTTCTTAGTTTAACAGTAGTTTTACTCACTAGAAGAGAAACTGACTCACAAAAAAGCTTTTATATTAATTGGGAATCCCGGTTTGCTTTTTGGGCTATTGATATTTTGATTTTTTTTTTCTATTCCTAACTAAATTTTTGCAGCTCAAATTCTCGTTCAAGCGCAGTGTAATAGTTCAATAGTTTAGTCAAAGCATTGCTTCACATGCTGCTGTTCACGATACTTGGAATTGATAAAAGACATATAGCAAATGGTAGATTTAAGAGGTTAGCAAGTTTTGAAAAACCAAGACCAGCAATTGCTGTTGGTGATCGTTTTTTGTGCTTAGTTATAGACAGATCAGCCGTTCAACCACAAGATCATCTGAGGAAACAAAAAATAGATAAGCTGACAGTTAGGAGGGATTTGCGGAAAATGGTTTAGTACCTAGAATGTTCTCCACAGTATAATTGCATTTTAGTTATTGAACATTTCGTGTGTGATTTTAGATTAAACACTGCAGCACTGAGTGTTACATCTGTTCTTGTCTCAGGTCATCTGATGGACTAGAAAATATATGGAGAAGTGGAAGGGTATATATTTATACTGCACAATTTCTGACTACTACTATATAAAAGTACCTACTGTATAAAAAAACATACCAATCAATATTATACAAATCATCGAAAACATCTACTTCCATAATCGAATACGGGCAAAAAAAAAATGGAAAACTAACACAGTGTACCTATACCAGTACAAAGCGGAGTCAGACAGGGTGGACGAAATAATACAAGCAGTACGTAAAGGTCATGGTTACAGAATGGTAAACAAAGAAATCCAAATATAAATGCAGACGACGCTGCATTAATGGCCGAGACAGAAGACGACCTCCAAAGATTAACACACATCTTCAATACAACAGCCAAGAAATACAATATGATAATATCAGCAGAAAAAACAAAATGTATGACAACATCTTAATACCCACTACGATGTAAAATTGGTGGAAAAATAATAAAGCAGGAAGCAAGGTTAGATATCTGGGAATAGATATAACTAGTAACGGAGATGTTGAAGAAGAAGTACAACAACAAAGCTTAAAATCAAGTAAAGCGACGGGATTTCTTAATGACACAATCTAGAAGAACAAACACCTAAGACAAGACACAAAAACAAGAATTTATAAAGCAGCAATTAAACCTATATTAACATACACGGAGGAGACAAGATCTGGCACATCTAAAACGAGACGACTACTAGAAGCAACAGAGATGAAAATACTGCGACAAATATCAGGGAAAAGTCTGTTGGATAGAGAGAGAAGCGAAAACATAAGAAGAGATAGATAGAATAGATAGATAGAAGACATAAATGGATGGGTGAGAAAACGGAAACAGGAGTGGATCAAACACATTAGTAGAATGGCAGAAGATAGGACAGTACGAATAGTACCAGATAAGTCACCAAATGGACGAAGAAGTATTGGCAGAACAAGAAAAAGATGGTGCGACAATTTAAACAATTTAGGAGGCTAATATTGAAGAAGAAACATGCTTTAAAGCCAACATACAAAGAGGAAGAAGAAAAAGACAATTTCTAAACGGGTATCTTTCTTTCAAAGATTGCAGATATTGTATTCATCCTGGATCTTAACCTAATAGAGCACCTATTGGATCAGCTTTACACTTAAGTTTGAGCCTACAAGAAAAAATTTTTGTAACTCTTCAAATTGCATTGAAAAACTAAATAACTTGTCTCACGGCTGTAAAATGAAATAATTGAGATCCGAGGAGGACATACACAGTATGTATTGATGGTTAGCAGAAGGTCAAAATTGAAAAACTGTTGTAATTTTTTAAATATGAAAAAAAATGTATTTTTTATAATTCCGTTATCTTCTTTCATTGAATTATCTAGTTATGTGTAAAATAGTCTCCTTTCTTTTAGTGTTTGGATTCCATATCATTAATAAATTATTTTTAAATTCAAAACTCTTGATAGGTAGTAGTAATGGATATTAAATGTTTTTTTAAAACTTTTCACGGTGGCCTTTTTTGTCAGTCAGTGTACATTAATTATAAAACATATATTACAAAAAAAATCAGATCTGTTGAAGTCATGGACTTATATGGTTGATATAATACAGATCTTAAAGTAGTTAAGGAAAAGTATTGGATACTTTATGGAATTTAAAGATAGGAGGTACTGTTAGGATCTTCTTCTTCAAAGGCAAAACCTTTGAAGTAAGTACAAGTATAAATCTGTAGTGATTTGGCATTATGTTATATATCAGTCTAGCCCAATTTTGACGTAAAATAATATTAATACAAATAACTACGAATATTAACATATTTTATTAAGAGTTAAAAAATTCTTTCACTATTAGAATGTATTATTTTCATTTCCAAATTATAATATTAAACTATTAGGTCAAAACTTAACTACAATGCAATTGATAATATTTCACTTGTCAGTACCAGATAAAGACTATCTTAAAATGAAAATAAAATTCTAATAAAAAGAAAATGCTTTGAAAGGTGTTTACTTTATAAAGTTCACGTTCCCGTTAAATTACCAGTTGGTGTAGAAACTTGAAGAGGCTGCATAGGTTGACCTGGTGAAACTTGAATAAACACTTCGGCTGGACTAATCACTGCGAAGACTGAGATGAAAACGTTAAGAACCACTACTAAAAAGATCCCGATTACTGTGAAATTGTTTATTTTGTTGGCTAAATGTAAATGTTTATCGTCTTTAACGTTGTATAGGGAGTTCCAGATTAGTCCGATGCCAACGCCTACCTGAAAATAAATAAAGCTAGAATTAAAATTTAATTTTATCTAAACTGTTACGTTGTGTTAAGTTGTAAATCGATATAACTAGTTATGGAGATGTTGAAGAAGAAATACGACAAGTAAGTGTAATGTATGCACCCTTTAACAGTAATGTCGGATATGTTATCTTCCACCTCTACCAAGCGGTAGTTTTAGTAGTAGCTAACTTCATTAATAGACATATAACCTATAATAAGCATACTTTTACTGTACACGTTTTTGGGGTAAACTAATAAAGTGTTAATTCAGTCTTCAATCCTTATTATTTAATATGATTAGATGCGGACACCACAGTAAGCTTAAAAGCAAGTAAAGCGGCGGTATCTCTTAATTGTTGTGAATGTTGTCTGCGGCAACTAAAAAAAGAAGAATGATGACATGCATGTCAATGTCATGTTCATGTTCATAACCATGTAACCACATGTAACTTTATGAATAAAGTTATCTTAATTATTATACCAATGTCTTTTAATTAAAATACATAACATTATTTGGCGACGAGTCAACGTATCCACGTGTAAGTCAGTCAGTCCACACGTTCAAGTGTGAAATCAAAAGTTTTTGGAATTAAGTGCTGATGTCACCAGGTGTCCACCTAACCTAAAATAGCCAACATATTGGGATTTTTCACAAGTCTTAAGTGAATAAAATCATGGCAAATAATCTAATTGGTAATATAGAACATTTTGACCCAAAAGTGGGAGATATAGTAAGTTACATGGAGAGAATGGAACAACTGTTTGTGTGTAATGTGGTAGAAGAACAAATGAAGGTGTCTATGTTATTAACACTGATCGGTGGAGAGGCATATTCAACTCTTAAAGACATTTTAACTCCAGATTTACCCAGTGCTAAGAGTTATGATGTGTTAAAAACAAAATTAGTTGAACATTTTAGTCCAAAAAGGTTACAAATTGCAGAAAGGTATAAGTTTTGGAATGCAATTCAAGACCAAGGAGATGACATTAAAGCTTATGTGAAAAAGCTCAAAAGTTTGTCAGTACACTGTAAGTTTGGTGCATTTTTGCAAGAAGCTTGGAGAGACAAGTTTGTATGTGGTATTAGGTCACAAGCCATTAAAAGAAAGTTATTATCAATGGATAATTTAACATTTGATGTTGCAGTACATGAAGCCTTGTCTATAGAACTGGCTGAAGGTCAAGTAAAATCTATGAATATGGAAAGTGCAGTCAGTACGATGGCAGAAAGTCTTGATAAAATTACGTTTAAGAATCAAAAAAAGTCAAATAGTGCTACTGTGTTTAAGAAAGACAGTCAAAAAGTGAAGCCATGTTATAGATGTGGAGTCCGAAAGCATGACCCAGAAAAGTGTCCAGCAAAGGCGTGGGAATGCTTTAAATGCAAAATAAAAGGTCATACAAGTCGTGCATGCAGAAGTGAGAAAGTCAACAAACTGGATGAATCAGAGGAGACATCTACAAGTGATGATGACCTAGTTCTAGGGTTTTTGGCAACTATAAACCAAAGCCAAGATGAAAATCCAGCTCAGGTAACATTGAACATAGAAGGTAAGAAGATTAAATTTGACATAGACAGTGGAGCTTGTAGAACTGTCATGCACATCACAGACTCTGAAAAATACCTACCAGAATTGAAGTTGTACAGTGTTAAGTATAGGTTAAAAGTATTAACAGGAGAAGGTGTTAAGATTCTGGGGAGACTGATGTGTTTGTACAAGTCAAGGACAAAATAGTAAGTTTACCATTAGTAATTTTGGATAGCAGTCATAAATTTATACCATTGCTTGGTCGAAATTGGCTAAATGTACTAAGCCCAGACTGGAAACATAAGTTGTCTTTTGACTGTCTAAACATGTTAGATTCAACTAATAAGTTCATGGATGGACAGGATATTTCAACTGAGTGTTGTCAGTCTGGGTCACAGTTGAATGAATCTTTGTATGAACCATGTCAGTCAAGTAGTTCTAGTAAGCAGTTGCCATTTGAAGTTAATATGTTTCAGTCAGATAGTCAGGTAAATGTTAAAAATCAGTCTAGTAAGCACCCAGTGTCAAATATATGTCAAAAGCTGCCGGGTGAGTCAGGCAGAATATCAGAGGTAAGCTCAAAAATTGAGAAGTTGGTATTGTCTTTAAAAAAAGATTTTCAAAATGTTTTTAATGATGAGTCACAGTCCTGTATTAAAAACTTTAAAGTTGAATTGAATCTGAAGGAGGGAGCAAAACCTGTGTTTCATAGAGCTTATGATATGCCATTTGCATTGAAAAGCAAAGTAGAGTCAGAATTAAAAACAATGTGTGATTTGGGTATATTAAAAAAAATTAATTTTAGTAATTGGGCAAGTCCAATAGTAGTTGTGCCAAAAAAAGACAGTTCTCATATTAGAATTTGTGTTGATTTCAAAAAAACTGTGAATCCAGCTCTTGATACAGATCATTGTGTTTTGCCACTTCCCGAAGATATATATGCTTGCTTAAGTGGAAATCGATATTTCTCAGTCATTGATTTGAAAGGGGCATACCAACAGCTTGAAGTAGGTGACAAGTCCAAAGAACTGTTAGTTATTAATACACACTTGGGACTTTTTGCCTATAATAGGTTAACTTTTGGTATTAGTTCAGCCCCTGGAATTTTCCAAACTGTTATGGATAATATTCTGGTGGGGTTGGAAAATACAAAATGTTACTTGGATGATATTTTATGTTATGGAAAAACATTAGAGGAATGTTATCAAAATGTGATTGAAGTCCTTAAAAGACTTGAGCAATATAATGTCAAAGTCAATCATAAAAAATGTAAATTCTTTAAAGATAGAGTCGAATTCTTAGGTCATTATATTGATTCGTCAGGTATCCATCCTACTGAGGAAAAAATTCAAGCAATAAAGTCTGCTCCGTCCCCAACAAACCTTACTGAATTGAAATCTTATCTTGGGTTATTAAATTATTACATCAAGTTTATTCCAATGTTGTCATCAAAATTAAAGCCATTATATAATATTTGCAAACCTGATGTAGATTTTTCTAAAGAATGGACTGATGAATGTGAAGACATCTTTAGACTCAGTAAGGACTTGTTGACCTCAGATAGTCTGTTGACACACTATGACCCAACTTTACCTATTTATGTGACATGTGATTCTAGTGGCTATGGTGTGGGAGCTGTATTGAGTCATATTATTGATGGTATTGAAAAACCTGTACTATTTGCCTCTAGCACCCTCTCTCCAACTGAACAAAAATATAGTAATTTAGAACGGGAGGCTTTAGCTTTAATATTTGCAGTCAAAAAGTTTCATAAATATCTCTATGGGCGTAAATTTACCCTTATTTCAGATCATCAACCACTTCAATTTATTTTTGCAAAAAATAAAAATATCCCAACTACTGCTGCTGCTAGAATTACTCGATGGGCGTTAGCTTTGTCAGGTTACAGATATGATATTATTTACAAAAAAGGAAACTCTATTGCCAATGCAGACGGGTTGTCACGGTTACCTTTAAAACAACAAACTGAAGTAGATGACTATATTTTTTCGTTTAGCTTAATTAAGGAAATACCATTGAATGCAGATGATATTAAAAAAGCTACTAATAAAGATTCATTACTTCTGAAAGTCAAGGACCTTATTTTGTCAGGTTGGCCTATTAGTGTTGAGGATGATAACTTAAAAACTTTTTTTAAACGCCGGAATGAATTATCAGTTGAACAGAATTGTATTATGTTAGGGAATAGGGTTGTAATTCCTCAGTCGTTAAGACTTGAAATTTTAAAAGTTTTTCATGAGCAACATTCTGGTATTGTACGAACCAAATTACTAATTAGGTCATATTGTTGGTGGCCAAATCTAAATGATGATATAGAAAAATTTATTGCATCATGTGATATCTGCCAGGAAAATCAAAATTTCACTAGAAGTAATGATCATATGTCTTGGCCAGAATCACCTCATAATTTTTATAGAATATTTATTGATTTCCTAAAGTTGTTTAACCATACATTTTTGCTCATGTATGACCAAAAATCGAAATGGTTAGATGTCAAATTAATGGATAACAGTACCATTGCGTCAGAAACCATTTCAAAGTTAAAGGAAACCTTTTCAATTTTTGGTCTTCCAGTAGAACTAGTTTCAGATGGAGGTCCACCCTTTAATTCAGTAGAATTTGTTTCGTTTTGTCAGTCAAATGGTATAACTCCAATAAAATCACCTCCAGGTCATCCACCCAGCAATGGCTTTGCTGAAAGAGCTGTACAGATAGTAAAGAAAGATTTAAAAAAGGCTTTATTTTCAGTAAAAGGGGAAGAGATAACTAAACAACAAATTTTGCTTAAATTATCAAGTTTTCTTTTTGCTTATAGAAACACCCCTTCTACATCAACAAATATGACACCATCTGAAAGTATTCTAAAGTTAAAACCAAGAACCAGATTTGACTTAATCAAACCCTCTGGCCATAGCAAATATGCTAAAGGTGGTTCACAAAATGCAGTCAGAGCTAGAAAATTATTTAAATTGAATGAACCAGTTTATGTAAAAAATAAGCATACCAAGCTTTGGCAAAGGGGTAAGGTTATGAAAATATTAAGTTATTGTACTTATTTAGTACAAGTTGGATCTCTTATCAAATTTGTTCATGCAGACTCTTTAAGAAGTGATATGGGTGATCCAACTTATTCACATACCAATATAGTACCTAATATAAGTAATAATCTTGCCAATTATAGTGGTCCAGAACAAGAAATGTGTAGCAATATTCCCAGTGTTCCTCAAAACGTAACAGTTGATTCCCCAAGAAGTGAGTTAACACCAATATCAGTGCCACCAAGTGTTATAGGTGAATCTAACAACACACCCATAATTGCTTCTCCAAAAGTGACTTTAAAAAATAATGATACTCCAAAAATGTCTAGGTTTGGCAGAGTTATAAAACCAACTCGCAGGCTAGATCTTTAATAAAAAACAAGGGGAGAAATGTTGTGAAT